TTAAGTGACTTGCCCAGAGTCACACAGCTAGTGAATATTATGTGTCTGAGGTGGGATTTGAACTCAGGTCCTCCTGACTCCAAGGCTGGTGCTCTATCCACTGCACCACCTAGCTGCCCCAAGATTCTTCTTTACGTAACATGGCATTATCTTGCCCCATCCATTGATCAACTCTTTCTGAACAAGATCCTCACCCATTGCCATATTTCAGGCCTATGATTCTATTTACTTACTTGTATTAATTTCAGATTCATTTTATTACCCATATTGCATACAGATACTTGAGGCCTGAAGTATTGCTGTCAGCCTTCCAAGTTGTATTCTTCTTTACTCTTTCTATGTCACTAAATTCTATTGTCCTGATTGTGATGAGAAGTAAAGTACTAGACTAGAAGCTATTTCTAAAAGTGCTCTGTATTTTTCTTGGTTTAAAAGCAGATCCCACACATGATTTTCTTGCTTTAGGTTTTTAATATTGTTGTATTTCTTTGATTTCTAATAGGAGTCAAGAAGATATGTATAAATCAGTCATTGAAAATGAATATATTAAATTTTTGTTATGTGCCAAGCTTTGTACTAATAATAGAAAAGTGAGATTGTTCTTGCCCTAAAACTCACGTTTTGGTAGAGGGAGACAACACATATAGGTTCAGCTATACTATCATGATTGGAAAGTTCTGGTGGCCATGGGGGTGGGAGGGGAGTACAAATATAGTAGGTCTCAGATGACAAAGTCAGGGGATCCTAAGAGTCTGTCTTCAGGGCATATGGTAAATCTCAGTAGACCAAAGGGCACACAGTAAAGTCTTGAGGGTGTAGCAGTACTGTGAGGTAACCCTTTTTCCCACTGGGAAGAGTATTTATATCATTTCAGCACTCCAGTGTGGGAAGAGGTAGTTCAAACACTCTTTCATTGTGAAATTTTATCATCTTCTATTTGCAGACAAGTTCAGCAGTAAGCCTTGTTACCATTATTACTGCTCCTTCATCTGTAGGTAAGCTTTAGGCTAGACCTGGATACAACCTTGTCAAGATCAGTAGCATGTCTAATTTAGCATTTGCAATTTAATTCAATAAACATTAAGTGCTTTTAGCTATAAGGCAGTGTCCTAGGCACTAGAGACACAAAGGCAGAAAAAAAGATCTTTGATTAATTTAAAGGTACTACAATTTTTCAGATAAGTAAATAAATACAAGGTAAATACGAAGAGACAGCTGGTTCTAACACCTGGGGATGGGACATCCAGGAAGGCTTTAGGGACAGAAGTAATAACTGAGCTGAAGAAGATTCTTAGAGGTAAGAAATGAAGTAAGAGAACATTCCCAGGGATTGGGGCTGATAGATGAAATTCCACTTTGTAGAACAGTCCAGTTTGGATAGAATGTTAAATTCTGGAAGGGAATAATATGAAGTAAGCCTGTAAAGATAGTTTGTGACTAAATTGTGGAGGGTCTAAGTTGGAAGCTGAAGAAATTGAAGAAATTTTTGTTCTATATGGAACCATTGAATGTTTTTGAGTAGAGAAATGACAGGATCAAACCTGTGCTTTGGGAAAATTATTTTTGTAGCTGTGTAGAAATTGGATGGAATAGCAGAAAGGGACTAAATTAGAAGGTCTTATCATTCAACGGGTCCTGATTAAACTCCTACCATTTGTCAGAGACTGTGCTAGTTCCAGGAGACACAAATAAGTGAATGAAATGATCCCTTCTTGTAATGAATTTACATTCTAACGGGAGGGACAAGTACATATAGAAATATATACAACATTAATAATAAAATGTTTATATGTAATTAAACACAGTACTGTAGGAGGGAATGTACTGGTAGTTGTGGAGGTCAGGAAAGGCTTCATGTGAAAGATTGGTGCTTGAGTTTCATCTTAAAAGAAGGGATTTTATGAGATGGAGGTAAGAAGGGAGTGCATTTCAGGCTTAAGAGATGACCAGTATAAAGACGTTAAGATGGGGGATGATGGTAACTGAGTGAAGAGCAGAGAGAAGGGTCAATTTGTTGAATTATAATGTACAAGAGGAAAGTAATGTCCTTTGAGGCCGGACAAGTAGGTTGGAGCCAGGTTGTGTAGGGCTTGCCTTAAAAGCTAAATAGACAAATTCTTATTTTATTCTAGACACAATAGGGAACCATTAAGATTTGGAGAACTAGGGGAATCACATGGTAAGATCTACACTTAAGGAATATTACTTTGGCAGCAGTATGTATATAAAGGACTGTAGTGATGAGAGATTTGAGGCAGGGAGATCAATTGAGGCTTCTGCAATGAGTGAGAGATAATAAGGGCTGAAGCTGTGTGAGTGGAAAGAATGAGTAAGTTGTGAGAGGGTTCATGAAGATAGAAATGGGAAAATCTGGCAACTGATTAGATATGTAGTATGAGGAAGAATGAGGAGTTGAAGAGGATGCTTATTACAAATATAAGATACTGAAAAGATAACAGTACCTTAGCCAGTAATAGCAAAGTTTGGTAGTGCAGAAGACTTAAGGAGAGTAAGATAGTGAGTTACATTTTAGATACTTTGAGTTTAAAATGTCTCTGAGGCATTCATCTTGAAATAAACCCAATGGTCAGTTGGTGGTCTGGAACTGAAATTCAGAGGAAAGACTGGAGCTAACTATGTAGATTTGGGAGTCATATGTGTAGAGATGATTTATTGGAGTTGATGAGTTTACCAAGAGAGAAGATGTAGAGGGAGAAGAGAAGAAAGGTCAGAGCAGCACTGTGGAAAATACCTTCAGTTAAGGGCCATGCTGTATATGGCTGAGAAGGAGTGGTCAGTTAGAAGTTGAGCCAGGAGACAGTAATTTCACAAAAACCTAGAGGGAAGAGGAGGGGAGAGGGTGATCAGCAGTGTCACATAGATCCAGAAGGAAGCAGACTGAGAAAATCAGATATGACAACTAACTCGAATGGTAAGAGTTGAAAATTTGAGTTCAATGGAAAGTTTTATTGTGTGAGCGTTTGTATCAGTGACTGAGGTATAGTGGAATTGGTCATGGGAGTTATGGAAGTTGAAGAAAGGAAAAGCTCTAAAGTTTGAGGGAGCATCTACAGGAATATTAAGGTCCTCTATTAGGATCTAGTATTAGGGCTAGAATTAGGCAGTAGAGGAATTTTTATTATACTTTAGGATAGAATTGTTGAGGGTTTGAACTGTAATGGTCATCTTAAGAGTAAGCAGATGAAAGGAAGATACGTGGTGGCAGAGTTAAAATGACTTGACAACTATTTCAATATAGGGGTGAGGGAGTGGAAGAGTCAAAAATAACCTCCAAGTTTATGAACCTTGGTGTCTGGGAATATAGCATAATGGTACCTACAACAGAAAACAGGAAGTTTGGAGGAAAGATCTGCTTATTTTTGTTCCTTTGTGTGTATGTGTGGAAGGTGTGGGGAGAGGGGTGAAATTGGGGGTATTTTAAGTATTGTAGTAAGAAAATTCTCAAGTAGCTTAATCATAATTATCTGAAAATGCAAATGATTCATACAAGGTTACTTTGTTTAGTTATACCTGTTAATTGTATCTTTTCCTGAGCTCCAGTCTTACATCATCAATTACCTTTTAGATATCTCAAACTGGATGCCCTATAGCATCCTGAAAAGTCAACATGGCCAAAACAGAACTTACTTTTCTATCTAACCTCCCTCGTTCCCAACTTTCCTATTATTGTTAAGGCACCCAGGCTTACAGCATTGGTGATACCTCCACTTCATCGACTTAGTCAATGTGTTGTCAAACCTTGTTTTCATCATTACAACTCCCACAGCTATCACCCGAGTGGAATATCCTTCACCTCATTGCTGGATGATTGTGGGTTGTTCTCCCTGCCTCACTCCTTCCCCAGACTTTAAACTGATTTCTTTAAAGCCTATTATATCTCATTATCAGTAAACTTAAATGGTTTCCTCTCTTGCATCAAATATAAAAATACTCTTTGATATTTACAACTTGGATGTTTTATACCTTTCTGGTGTTCTTACAATTGAACTATTCATTGTGCCTTACATAAGACCCTGCAACTACAAACTGCATGCCTTTTTGTGCCATTCATAACTTCATACTTAGAATGTTTTCACCCCTGACTCCTAGCTTTCCTGGATTCCTTTAGTACTCAGCTTAAATCCTACCATCTATAAGAGGCCTTTTCTGGTTTCTTATTTCGTCTCCTTCCCTCAGCCCTCCAACTTTCCCCCTGAAACCTGTATATGCTATAGTATCATATATGTACATAGATATTTGCATACTGTCTCCCCCATTGAGATGTAAGCCCCTAGCGAGCAGGGATCATGTTTTTGTTGTTGTTACGGTTGTTTTGCCTTTCTTGTTTCCCTAGTGCTTAGCACAATGCTTGACACATAGTAAACACTTTAACATGCTTGTTCACTGACTTTTAAATATTGTGTATCTATTGTTATATATCAAATCATTGCCACTTGGAGTAGGAATTAAAACTACATGATTGTGTTAATTTGGAATTTGTAATGTTAATTGATTTGAAAATTTTTATCTTTTCAGTTAGATTGAGTTGGATTCTTACATGATTGTGTCCTACAGTAAAGTATCTTGTATACATTTATTTGTTAGGTTCTCTCTACTGGTACCTATATACAGTGTGATGTTCTATAGAATGATAGAATGTTCAAGCAAAGAGAAACTTTACTGGTTGCCATAATGATAATCCTGTAATCACTGCATAGCATCCTTAACTGTCTTCTAAAAAATTAAAAAATAAGCTAATTATGATGACTGATTTTAGTGCTAAGTGTTTTCATTATGTTTTAATTAAAAAAAACTCAACCACATAGTCCATGTGTATGCTTCTTTACCTATTTTCTGACTATCCTTTTTAACATAGGTTTATAGAATTAAGTAAATTAGTCCTTTTTGTTCCATTTGCATAATGCTCTAGATTATGACAGACTTGAAAATAGGGATGCTTTATTTATTCATTCATTCATTCAAATATTGTTAAAATCTAGGCTCCTGGATTTGGGTTTGGAATTGCAATATCAGGAGGAAGAGATAACCCTCATTTTCAGAGCGGTGAAACCTCAATAGTTATTTCTGATGTGTTGAAAGGAGGTCCAGCTGAAGGACAACTTCAGTAAGTGTTTCCTTTTCCTGTGTTCTTAGGGCAGCTGTTTTAGATGATAGGCCTTGTTGGTAGTGGTTTGTTTTGTTTTTAAAGAAAATGGACAATGGCTTATTGTCCAGATGGAATTGTGGTAGATCTGAAGATAAGTATGTTGCCATCCCTATTGTAGCTGGTTAAGTAATTTTTTTTCCGTAGATCATTCTTTTTTTTTCTTTTTTTTTTTTTTTAGTGCTATATACATTTTTCAGCATTGTTTTTTAACTTGACTTTTTTTTTTTTAAACAGGGAAAATGACCGTGTTGCAATGGTTAATGGTGTTTCCATGGATAATGTGGAACATGCTTTTGCTGTTCAGCAGTTAAGGAAAAGTGGAAAAAATGCAAAAATTGTAAGTAACTGTAATTATAAGTTCCTTTTAGAGCATCAAGAATTAGAAACTTGAGTGTCTGATTTGGATGCAATACATATATGAATGGCCTTCTTTGAAACAAAGTATTTAAGTTAGTGCTAACAGCATTTTAAAATCAGTAAAATGACTGCTTCAATGACTGGCCTTCTCATCTGTCACAGAATAAAGGATTGTGCAATTAAATTCATATACCAAAATTTCTTCAGTTGAAAAAGTTATTATTAGGATAATACTTGACTTTCCATTCATTACCACCTTAGAAGCTGAAAGGATTTTTATGAGAGGCATACACATAGGTAGGTACATTTGTGATCAAATTTTTGCATTACTTGTTTCGTTGAAATATATATTTCTTTATTTAATTTCTGACTTTGTGATCTGCAGAGTATGCCTACAATTCCTATTAGCAGTTTTCCTGCAGTACTTGGATTGAATCAAAATAGTTGATATGTAAAGCTGCATTGAACCTTGCATATAATATCACCTACTTTTTCTTCATAACTTTACATTTTAATTTAACTGAAAATTAAATATAGCTTACTTTAAATAAACCACAGAAATACAACTAATCAAGTGAGAAGAAAGAAAGCTTCCAAGCTCCTTTATAGTAGTTTCCAGTAAATTTTCCCCTATATATCTTGCCTTGTCAACTTCTTGTGGAACTGACAGTAGGATATTTTATTTTCATAAAGTTCTTATCTATAAAACTAGCAACAGTTTAATTTTTTTTAAGACTTTTTTTGCCTTCTAATTTTCTTCTCAGAATGTTTTAAAACACACTTTCCTTTAATAACGTTAATGTTTTCAGAGTTCTTAAGGATCATTCCTAAAGTAATGTTAATATCTTGTTTATCTTTTAAACTAGATTTTATTATTTTTCAGTTTAAAATCTGTCATTCAAACTGAAATTGTGTTTTTAAAGTTTTCTCTACTATTGCTAGACTCAGTATCCAAGAGATACTGCATTCTATCTGTCAATAGCCTCAAGTTTCCTTTCCCTCTAGCCCATCCTATCCACTTCTTTCAAAGTTGTTTTTCTTAAACAGTGATCTAATTATGTGATTCCTCTACTCAATCAACTTAAATGCAAACTTACATTATACTAAGGAGTGAGTGTATCAAAGAATAAATCATCAAAACAAATAATTGTACTAAAGACTGAGTCTGATGCTAAGTAACTTGCCCAATATCATTAAGGCTCAGTCAGGACCAAAACCCTGGTCTTTTGATGCAATCTAGCGATTTTTCTGCTAATCTGATTTTATTGCTTTTTATGTACTATAAGTTAATTTCTAATTCTTTATTAAATACTTATAATATATAAAGCATTGTGCTAAGGATAAGAATTAGAAATTTTTTTCCCAAGTTACCTGTCCTCAGGAGATTCTAACCTACTGGGGAAATACAACATGTACACAAATAGATATGTTATAAGGAGAACTGAGCAGTAAAGGAACACTAAAAACTGGAGAGGGTAGTATTTCTAGGTATGGGAAATGGTTTGTATGAATGAATAGAGGTAGAACATAGAGTATTTGTGAAGGATGGTGAATAGTCTAGTATAGGTTAAGAAAGACTAGGTGAGAGTCAGACTAGTTATTGGCCCACATGGGGGGCCAAAGAGTTTCCAGGCTCAGGAGTTTACATTTTATTTTAGAGGCAGTGGGGAGTCACTAAGATTTATAGACAGGACAGTGACTTGATCAAACCTGTCTATGCCTTATGAATCTGATTTTGGCAACTGTGTGAAGAACATATTAGAGATGGAAGATACTATATAGAGAGAGAGCAATTAGGAGACTATTGTAGTAGTCTAGGGAAGAGGAGGTGAGTACCTGGATTAAGATAGTAATCATATGAATGAAGAGAAAGGGGTGAATTCTAGAAAAGTTGTGGAAGCAAAACCAGGAAGACTTGACAATTGCTTGATTATCCTTGATCAGGGAAAGGAAAGAGGGTTAACTCTAGATTTATGAACCTCAGTGACTAGAATGGAAGTAGTAGTCTTAACAGAAATAACAACAACAATAATACAGTGTTTTACAGTTTGCAAAGTGCTTTATGTACACTGCTCAGTTGATTATTGTATCCCTTTAAGGTAGGTGCTATTATCTCCTTTTTGTAGGTGACATAATTCAGGCACAGGTAGATTAAGTGATTGGACAGTTTCACACAGCAAATATTAGTTCTTAACTGACTCCAAGACTACCACTATAGCTATATGCCACAGAAGTTTGGAGAGAGGGGGGTTTGGGATAGAAGATAACGAGTTTCATTTTGGACATAATGAAATTGAGATGCCTATGGCATTTCAAGTTGGAGATTATTTAGTAGGCAGGTGACAATGTTACTTGAGTTCAAGAGAGATTCAAACTGGTTATATAGACGTGGGAGTCATTTGCAGAGAGATAATACATAAACAACTATGGGAGCTAAAGAGTAGAGGCCAACAAAGTTTGTGTAGAGATGGAAGAGAGGAGGTCCAGGAACATCCGCCTACACTAAGTGAGCAGGAATTGGATGATTGGTGAGATAAGAAAGGAAAACCAGGAAAGAGCAGTATCTTGGGAAAAGATAGTGTTAAAAAGCTGGGGGTGGGGAGAGGTCAGAGGTGAGAGAGATTGACCAGTAGTATTAAAATTGCAGAGATGAAGATTGAAAAAGGCTGTTATTTCATGATTAAGAGTTTGTTGAGGGGCAGCTAGGTGGTACAGTGGATGGAGCTCTGGCCTTAGAGTAAGGAGGACCTGAGTCCAAATCTGACCCCAGATACTTGGCATTTAAGTAGCTGTGTGACCCTGGGCAAGTCACTTAACACCAATTATGTAAGCAAAAAAAAAATTTGTTAGTAACCTTGGAGAGAGCAGTTTCAATAGATTTGTAGGGTTGAAAGCCAGATTACAAATGATCAAGGAGGGAAAAAGAAGATTTGGAACAGCTACTGAGGGGAGTGGAAAAGAGAGTGTAACAAGGAAGCATTAAAAACTTGCAACATTTAAGCCCCACTGATGTTGTTGAGTCATGTCTGACCCTACATGATCCCATGGACATCGTCCATGGGTTTTCTTACAAAAAACACTGGAGTGGTTTGGCATTTCCTTTGCCAATATGTCCCTATTTTGCAGATGAAGAACTGAGGCAAACGGGTTAAATGACTTATCCAGAGTCACACAGCTAGTAAGTATCTGAAGCTAAATTTGAACTCAGATCTTCCTGACTCTAGGTCCCCCAGTGCTCAATCTGCTGTACCACCTAGCTGCCCCCACCAATATTAGATAACTTGAATTTGTAGTAAATTCAGTCAGCATGGAGTTGAGATTTCCTCTTTTGTTATTTAGCAGCTCTAGAATATGAGTAGAGAAAGTAAGTGATAAAAGTATTTTAGGACTGAGGATTGACGGTGGGATTAACATATAGTTTTATGGAGAGGGCAGTGCCATAGCACTTTATTCAAGCCACTGCATGTTTGGTAGATTTATTGTTTTCTTTTCCTTTGAGATTATGATAATTTCACTTTCAGAAAGATTTTAGGATACATTTTACTGAAACAATACTTTTAGTATCTCAGTATTCAAGAATGGGGGAAAAGTAATTAGAAAATAGACCTTAGTGGTCATTTGTTGTTTGTTCTCTCTCTGTTTCTACATTTCCCCCCCTTCACCTTCTCCCCATACATAGAGGTTTGTATATGTATGTGTTTGTATCCTACTTATGCACATTTGGGTAATAAAGTGATTTGGTTATACTATTTTGGTTATAGACTATTCGAAGAAAAAAGAAAGTTCAGATACCAGTAACCCGTCCAGATCCCGAGCCAGCATCTGAAAATGAAGAGGATAGTTATGATGAAGAGGTACATGATTCAAGAGGTACACGAAGTGGTCCAGTTGTTAGTAGAAGGAGTGAAAAGAGTTGGGTGAGAGATCGCAGTGCAAGTCGAGAGAGGAGCTTGTCTCCTCGATCAGATAGGAGATCTGTTGCTTCTAGTCAACCTGCAAAACCTACCAAAGTAACATTGGTGAAGTCTCGGAAAAATGAAGGTAAACTCTACTAATACTTGAAGCCTTACTTTAAAAAAACCACAGAATTGATTCATTTCTTTTTGATTTGTGTATTCTAATTCTTGCTAATATAGATCATTCCTTATTAACTAATTCTATGTAATTTGGCAGAAAACATACATAAAAATTTATAGCTGATGCAGTTGTGTATCTTGTGGAATATGAAAAAGAAAAAAAAACTTTCTAGAACTGAAAATTACACTGATAAATCTGTTATAGTAATAAGACTAATTCTTAGTGCTAATAGATACCCTTCCTATACAGATTCACATTCATAGTGCTTTGTTGACCTGTTTAATAAGAGAATTCCAAAAAATTAGTAACCAGTCATATAACAGCAATATTTTGTGCAGTCATGATCCTTTGTCATTCTCAGTAAGAATCCTGTTTAGTGTGCATGCATATACATATGTGCATATTGGTATATATGCATGTATGTATGTGTCTGGTATATGTGTATATATATGTATATGTGTGTATGCATATATGTTATATTTGCCTAAGAAATTCTCTTGTTAATTTCAACCCGATTTTGTTCCCAGGTTGTCTCCATAAGCGCTAAAAGAGATTAGAATACTTAGAATTAAATATTCTTGTTTGTGATACGTTACTTTTCCAGTTCTTCCTTAAACATTATCCATTTTCCTTTTTTAATTTGAATATAATTGTTCATATTATATCTGCCTTCAAAATAATGTGTTCTTAGAAATACTACAATTGTCAGTGTATTATTGGGAAGTAAACTACTTTTTCATTACATTTTTATTACTTTGGTCTTCACATGGTAGGAAAGAAGCTTGGTTCAAGCAGTTTTAATTTCACTCTTTACATTAACATTTGAAGCACTTTCTGTTTTTTTCCTATTATAAGGAATTTCTTTGTGCTCTTTTGCAAAGAATATTATCTATTTTTAAAACTCATTTACTGTGTCTGAATTTGTCCTTAGACTATCGCTATTGATGTTGTAATTCAAGGTATTAAGAAGTGTTTTATATGGTTTTATACTAAGGGTTATTTCATTGTTTAATTACAGAATATGGACTTCGTTTGGCCAGTCATATATTTGTAAAAGAAATATCACAGGACAGTTTGGCAGCAAGAGATGGCAATATCCAAGAAGGTGATGTTGTATTGAAGGTATAGTCATATTCTGAAATTTCTTTGGATTGAAGTGTCAAACAAATTGTTTTTATTATTCCAAATTTTTGCTTGTGTTGATTGAGACAGTTTACTAGATGTTTAATATTAAATTAAGTCTAATGGGAAGAAATAAAGAAGCTGCTGTCTGTCATATCTTAGTGCTAGATGCTGAAAGATATCAGCATACTAAAACAGTTATATTGCCACACAATTATGTTGGCACATACAACTGTTTGGATGCCCTTGCTTTCATTTTCCTATAACAGTTGCTTCAGTTGATTGAGGAAGTTGTGGTTTTTCTAATTACTAAAGATTGGAGTTTATGGTTTTTAAAAATTATAAGTTTTTACTGATGTATTTATTTTTCTTTTCTTTTCTTTTTTTTTTTTGACTAGGCAATGGGGTTAAGTGACTTGCCTAGGGTCACACAGCTAGTAAGTGTTATGTGTCTGAGGCCGGGTTTGAACTCAAGTCCTCCTGAATCTAGGGCCGGTGCTCCATCCACTGTGCCACCTAGCTGCCCCCGATGTATTTATTTCTTACAGCATCATAGTGATCCCAAGTATCACTCCCCCTTCTCCTCCAAGAGCCTTTTTTTTTTTAAATTTTCATTTGTTTGTCTTTAAGTGATAGAAAGCTTTAGCCTGTGGTATCATCTTTGAGAGTGAATAAAAGAGAGAGGACACAGGAATTATAGATATATTAATTTGTTTTATCTGATTTAATGGCAGTGGATCAGCTGAGAATTTGCTAAGTTAAGGTAGGTGATAATTTGATAAACTGAAAGCTTTAAATAGACATAACTCTGCTCCTTATGGTAAAGACATGCGTCATTTGCATTGTTTTTGATAGTTTGACAAGAGGTTCCAGTTTTGGGATATATATTTGTATATCACTCATTTCCAACACACAGCCTCTGTTCTATTGTAGATAAATGGCACTGTGACGGAAAATATGTCATTGACAGATGCAAAGACATTAATAGAACGGTCCAGAGGCAAATTGAAAATGGTAGTACAGAGAGATGAGCGAGCTACACTTTTGAATGTCCCTGATCTTTCTGACAGTATTCACTCGGCTAATGCGTCTGAAAGAGATGGTGAGTGTGAATGTGTCTTGGAATTTTCTTTTTAAGTGATGGTCATAACCTGCTTTATATTTTCTTGGTTTAGAGTGAAAGTTTAGAACAAAATTATGATTTCTTCTGAAATCGAACATCTTTAGAATCTACTTATTACCATTATTTAAAATAAACCAATAAAGTCTTAGTGTATTTATTTGAGAGCATTTATTCCTTTATTATTAAAGGTAAACATATAAAGTGAGCTACTTTAAATATATATATATATATATATTTATTTTCAGGTTTTTATTTCCATTATCAGTAAGGGACACTATCATTTTATTGCAGTCATTTCATGGGACAAAAACCAACTTTTATTTAACAGACATTTCAGAAATTCAGTCGCTGGCATCAGACCATTCCAATCGATCACATGACAGGCCCCGCCGCAGCCGTTCACGATCTCCTGACCAGAGGTCAGAGCCTTCAGATCATTCCAGGCATTCTCCACAGCAACCCAGCAATGGCAGGTGATGGCATAGTTGTGTGTTTTGATTTAAAACTGTCATTATGCATATAGCTTATTCATTTTTATTTATATATGTGGTGTAGAAAGTTTTAAAATTTTCTTTTTGGATGTAGATGTATTTTAAATATGTTCTCTATTTTTTTGCATGTGATGTTTTCATGTAAAAATTTTTATAGTTTTAAAATTTAGTTCAAGTATTTTAGTTTTAAAATATTTAGTTTTAAAAATTAGTTCAAATATTTTAAGAATTACTACTGTAAAAACTTGAAGAATCAAGAGAGAGTGATTGAGATGTTGAGGGTGGGCCCCTAGGTTGAGCACTTTGAGAGTTTAGATGACTTGGAAGATGGTAGTGTGCTATGCATAGTAACAAGGGAGTTTGGAAGGGAAGTGAGTTGTGAGAGGGGAAGAAAATGAGTTCAGTTTTGGACATGATGAGTTTATATGTCTGTAAGACATTGAGTTTGAGATTGGAGATTCTTGTTTAGAAGTTAGAAGAGATGTTAGGCCCAGTCAGATAAGTAGATTTGTGCTCAAATTCAGTTCATCTAATACTTCATTAGTATTCTGGATCTGAAGTATAATTTCAAATCCAGACTTGTTTTCATTTAAATTTCTCTTAGTGATTTGGGTCACTATTTTCCCATATTTAAAAATTTTCATTTCTTATATGAAAAACTGTTCATATCCTTTTGACCACTTATCTATTGAGGGCTTTAAAAATCTAAGTTCCGTGTTTCTTACAGTTTTCTACCTCCAACTTGTCTTTTCAGTTAAACTTATCAAACGTTTACTCTCTGCAAAGCACTTTGTTAGGGGCAATGAGATAGATGAACAATTAGATGGATTCTCCTTTTGTGGAGCTTACTGCAAGGAGCTAGGAAGATATTTACACAAAAAGGTATTATACGAGATGGAATGTGATAGGGACAAGGAGAAAAAAATCACTTTCTGTGGAAGAAGTAGTACCTGAGCTAGATCTGGAAGGAAAATAGAAGTTTTAGTAAACGAAAATGAAGCAGTGACTATGTTTCAGATATTGGTCACAGCCTGCATGAAATATGGAGAGAGTAAGACAAGATCAAGGAGCGGCTTATAGTCTAGTTTAGCAAGAACACATTGTGCATGAAAGGGTATGTGACATGGTCACACCTATGAATTACTAAAATTAACTTGGCAGTTATAAAGGTAGGTAGGAGGCAAGGAGACTACATAGAAAGATGTTGCATTTAAATAATTAAGAGCTTATTATAACCATATTGGGGTAGTTGCACTATGAGAATGATTATGGAAATAGAGTTGAATCGATTTGGCAGCTTACTCGTTAAAAGTGGTAAAAGAGAGAGAAAGAAGAATAAAAGATGATTCCATTCTCACCTTAATCCTGGCTTTTTCCTGAATGGTTTTGGACCAAGAATGTGTTGGTGGTGGTGGTAGCAGCAGAAGCAGAAGCAGTTTATCTAGTGCTTTAAGTTAATTGTAATCATTATTAATTATATAAATATAAAACTACCATTCATTTGGTAGTTTTAATTTAGTACTTTAATGACTTTAGACTTAAAATCTCATTTACTTAACCAGTCATTATAGTCATTTTTGGGGGGAGGGGGGGCTAGGCAATGGGGGTTAAGTGACTTGCCCAGAGTCACACAGCTAGTAAGTGTCAAATATCTGAGTCCGCATTTGAACTCAGGTCCTCCTGACTTCAGGGTCGGTGCTGTATCCACTGCGCCACCTAGCTGCCCCCATAATCATTTTTCAAAGGCCACAGTTTCTAAAAAAAGAAATACAAATGTTCAATAGCCTGAAAAATGTCCAAAATCACTAATAATCAGATGTAAATTAAAACAGGCCTGAGGTACTACCCCACACTTAACCAAGATTGTGCTAAAAGATGGGGAAAACATACGATTATAATGACAGTGGGAAAACAGACATGCTAAGTTATTGCTGGTAGAACTGAGGACAATAATTTGGACTTTTTAGAAAAAGTTACTAAACTGTTCATAGCCTGTGACACGAAGCTTCTGCTCCATATATATATGTCCTCAAGAGGTTATTGATAGCAAAATATGTTTTAAAAAATTGGTAACAGGATTATTTTAAGTGCTGCTGCTTAACTTTAGACATTAACATTTCATTGCTGATTCAGACATTGTATAATCTAATGATACTGAACTTCATGTTGTTTCTCTCATATAGCAGTCCATCTCTTGAATGCTGTCTTTTCACTGACTATCCCTAATTCCTGGAATGCTCTCCTTCCTTGTTTCTTTCCTTGTCTCTACCTTTTAGCCCCTCTGAAATCTCAGCTTAAACCATACAGAGGCCTTTTTTGATCCCCCCAAATTTTTAGGGCTTTCACGATTGCCTCCATTTTATACTGTTCATATATCTTGTTTGCACATAATTATTTATATGTAGTCTTCTTCATTGGAAAATGAATTACTAGAGGTAAGGAATTGTGTTTTTGCTTTCCTTTGTATCCTTAGCACTTAGCCCATTGACTGGCACATAGTAAGCACTTAATAAACGCTTCTTAACTTTACTTTTGTCCCTTTAACTCAGGAGAGGTACTCAGTTTTAGTCATATGTATTCCAATATAATCCTTCATCATACACTGTGTTTGTATCCAGAACAGGTATTTCTGGGATCCAGTGAAAATGAGGTGAAGTTTTACGTACTAGTCTGTTACACTTGTCGATGCAAAAGTGGGGAGAAGGGAGTTAGATATTTGATCATCTTTACCTGTTAGCCTATTACTCAGCTATAGGTTTAGTTGTTAACCTCTGCCTAATAGAATCCCTAAACTAACTTTAAGATTCAACTGAAGTACCACCTTCTACGTGAAACTTAGCAGATGACTGGCAACTGTTAGCACCTCCTCTCCCACCAACTACCTTATTTTCAACTACTTTGTATTTATCCTGCATATATATTCTGTTGTATTTAAATATATGTTGCCTCTCCAAATAGAATGTAAACACCTTGAGCAGACACTATTTCATTTTTTTGTTTATCTCCAGCATCCTCAAAGTACCAGTTGTATAGTACGCACTTTCATCAATGCTTGTTGATTGATTTTTTACTCAATCCAGGAATTTTCCCTATAGCATGCTGTTTTTCTGCATTCTCAAGACTTATTTTGAGATAGAGTACAGACAAGGGGGGGAGGGGGAGGGGGCTTAGAAACCATGCTATTTTTCAGTATTCAGTAAATGGTCAATAAATATTAAGCACCAATTCTGTGCCAAGCACCGTGCTAAGCGTTGGCTGTAGAAATATGAAAAAGACAGCCCTTGCCCCCACGGGCTTACAATCTAATGGGGGAAGGTAGTATACAAAGGAAAGTTGAAAAGTGGAGGATGGGGAGATCTGGCATGGCAGTGTGGTAGAGAAACCAAAGAAGTTTAGAATGAGTGCAACTGAGTGGGAAAATAGGAGTTGCCTGAGATTTTTTAAAAAGCAAAAACTGTATTATATTTTCAAAAATATTTGAAAAACAAAAGTTTGGCTCAAAAAATGTAAGCTCCTTGAGGTGTCAGGTATTGTCCTTACTTTTGGATTGTATCCCCAGCATTTGTTGTTGTTGTTCAGTTGTGTCTGACTCTTTATGACCCTGTTTGAGGTTTTCTTGGCAAAGGTACTGGAATGCTTTGCCATTTCCTCCTCTAGCTCATTTTATAGATGAGGAACTGAGGCAGACAGGGTTAAGTGACTTGCCCAGGGTCACATAGTTAGTAGGTGTTTGAGCCCTGATTTAAACTATAAACTCAGGAAGATGAGTCTTTCTGACTCTGGGCCCAATACTCTATCCACTACTGTACCACCAGCTGCCCAGCATTTAGCAAGGGGCTTGTCTTTCACATAGTAAGTACTTAATAATTTTTTTTTTCATTCATTCATTGTTGGAGAAGAAAAACCAAATATCTTAAAACCAAGTATTTTAAGGAGCAGATGGAGTCCATGTTGCATAAGCAGACAGAAAGAGATTGAGTTGGTTGAAGTTGATGAGACTACACATTAGGTTAACATCTTCTGTAACAGTTAACTGAAGAAATGGAATGTTGGTTACTTTTAGATGTAGCACATGTCCCATCACTAGAATTATTCAAACAGTGGTGAATTCCAGCTGTCAAGGATGTCTTAGGATGGTTGGGCTTGGGCTAGGACTGAAATGACTTGGGATGCCTCTTTGAATCTCTCATCCTAAGTGAAATTAGTGACTTTAATTCTAGTTTCTTTGTATGTCACTAAATGATTCTGTAAGCAGTTGTGGTTATATATGGCTCTTTAGAATTATAGATTTAGATTTGAAAGGTGCTGTATAGGTCACTTGATCCAGCCATTTGACATTATGGGTTGAAGTTGGGAGGGGTAGTGTGTGTGTGAAACTACTGATCAGAGAGGCCAAGGGGCTCACCTTTGCTCACCCATCCAGCAGTGTCAGGCATCAGTCCACGTTCCTCAGGCTTTCCTTGTTGTCTCACTCCTTGGTCTCTGCAAATAGTCTTGTAGAGGAGGTGCTGCTTGTAGAGGAGGAGTATTGAATGAGAGAAATGCTAGGTTTGGATTCAAAGGATCTGGGTTCAAATCCTAGCTCTCTGACATAATATCTGTGCACCTTTTGAAAGTTAGCAAAACTCTCTGGGGTCTCAATTTTCTCATCTGTAAAATAAAAAAGCAGTTTATAATTTTAGGATTCCTTCTAGTGCTACATCTGTGATCCTGCAATGATGAAAACAGACACACAGACACACACCCACCCTCTTTAGAGGGGAAAAAAGGTTTTATTCGTTCTTTTGTTTTTTACATTGTAACAATTCTCCCATGTCCTTCACTTTCCTCCCAAAGAGAGCTATCATCTATATAACAAATAGTATTTTTTCAAGTCAAAAGAAAGGGGGGAAATTAATACAACTATTGTGATAAGGCCTTACTATTTAACCAAAGGAGAAACCTAACCAGGTGTTGTAGTGAATAGAGCTCCAGACCTGGAG